TTTAGAGTAGTTACAGAAACGTAAAATGATGTGCCAGTTGTTTTCCAAAGCATTTGCACCAATTTACATTTTCACCACCTGCCTAAAACTGTGTTACCATTAAAATGATGTTGCTAATTTTATGAAAGAAAAGTCTAGTTTGTTTTGTTCAGTCATTCAGCAGCCTTAAGCTCCTTGCCTCTAACTGGGAGGTTGGGTTCAAACCATGTGTATGGATGCGGCATGTCCGGGGAGCAGCGCTTTCTGTAGGGTGCTCAGAGGAGGAGCCAGCCTCCACCTCCTGCCTGCTAGCAGTAGGAGGCTTTTACCCTGAGTGCTCAGTTCTGATCCGTCTTCAGGCAGCTCATCTCTGTATCTAGAGAACTGATGTGCGTTTGGGGAGTAAATGCAGCCGCCTCTGCTTTGCCCCCATGGGAGTGAAGGGAAGATGTAATAGATGGGGAAAACTGCCTTAGCTCCTCTTTTTTCCTTGATTTCTTGCTCCACCCACTACTCTTGCTCCCGGGCTTGTCCACTTAAGCGCGCAGCCATTCTGGAAGCAGTTTTCACCTCTGCTAACAGGATCCTCTTCTGTTTGTTCTGGGTCAGGACTTCCTCATACTTATTGTTCGTTTTCTAGAAACTTGTCAAAAATCCATTACACTGATGACTGTAGCCCAGCCCACACCTCATTACCTCGTACCAATTCTCAGAGATAATTAGGTATTCCCCTTTTCTGCTTTCCTGTCATTTCTGAAGAAGCGTTAGGAAGAAAGGAGTAGAGACATTTGAGTTCAGTCAGTCATCTTGGACTGGAAACGTCCGCCCCAGATGTTTTAAACATTCCGAAAAGATTTTATGATTATGTAGTCAAATGTAATAATATCTGCAGTGAAGATTTCTTTCTTTGCTTTATGCTCAGATTTTTTTTTCTCTTTCCAGAGATCATTTAAAGCTCAACACTTTTATTGGCTGTATTTAAAAAAAAAAATTAACACTGTTCTATCTGATTTACTTGGGGGAAAGTCTAGGGTAAAAAATTCAGTGATTTTGTTTCTCAAATATAAAGCCAATTTTTAACACTCCATTTCAAGTGAGTTATTCCTTCCTCATCTACTTGTGCTCCCTTCATCTCATGTTGTGTTCATATGTATTCAAGGAATTAGGCTACCTACTCTGATCCATTTATTTGAAGTAGGATTCTTGGACTAAATCCATAGTGTTTTAATTATTTTTAAAAATATGCTTTAATATTTACCTTGCTGTCCCAAGGCTTTACTGTTTCTTTTTTAAAAGTGTATTCTCTCTTCTTGCATATTCTAACAAGTGAACATGGGTATAATTTGGTCAAATTCCAAAACCAAACAAAATGAAATCTCTAGTGGGATTTCACAGGGAATTTATTCAGTCTATTTATAATATGGGAAGGATTGACTTTTATCAAATACCGTCTTTCATTAAAAAAATAGAGTATTTCTATACACTTAGTATTATTTCTATGTGTATGTCTTTAGGGAAAGCCTTGCTATACTTAGTATAGCAAACAAATATCCTTTTTAGTTCATTTTAAAGGTACTTACGTACTTTTTTGTTATTGTAAATGAGATACTTTGATCACATATTATTTAAAAACAATACTTATATTTTTATCAAGAGAAGAGTAACTTATGTCCATTATAGAAAATGTTAAATTAAAATCCCTTGTAACTTACACTATTATATACATATTATAAGGAATATGCATTTCACTTAGTAATATGCATTTAAGTTTCTTTCCTGTCTTTTAATGGTTTGATAGTTCATTTTCTTTTTAGCACTGAGTAATACTCCATTCCAGTTTATCTGTCCATTTTCCTACTGGAGGACATCTTGGTTGCTTCTAAGTTTTGGCAGTTATGAAGAAAGCTGCTAGGCACATCCATGTACAGGCTTTTGTGTGCACATAAGTTTCAACTCTTTTGGGTAAATACCAAGGAGCACAATTGCTGGAGCATATGTTAAGAGTATATTTAGTTTTGTAAGAAACCGCCAACCTGTCTTCCAAAGTGGCTGTAGCATTTTACATTCCCACTAGCAATGAATGAGAATTCCTGTTGCTACGTATTCTCTCCAGCATTTGGCATCGTCAGTGTTCTGGATTTTGGCCATTCTGATGGGTGTGTAGTGGTATCCCATTGTAGTTTTAATTTGCATTTCCCTGATGACACCTGATGTGGAGCATCTTCTCCATTTGCCATCTGTATATTTTCTTTATGAGTTGCTTATTAAGGTCTTCGGCCCTTTTTAAAATCAGGTTGGTTACTTTCTTACTGTTGAATTTTAAGAGTTCTTTGTGTATTTTGGATAGCAGTCCTTTATCAGATGTGTTTTTCGCAAATATTTTCTCCCAGTCTGTGGCTTGTCTTCTCATTCTCTTGACATTATCTTTCTCAGAGCAGAAGTTTTTAATATTAATGAACTCCAGCTTATCAGTAGACACACTCTGATAAGTCTGGACTAGCAAGAATCTTACCATTTGTTGGTAATTGTGTTAGTCATTCTGTTATCCACCACAGTGATGTTTATGAGATTAAAGTGCTGTTGTAGTCCTTCATAATTAGTCTTGTATTTAAACAACAGAATAACACACTTGTACAAATGATGTTTCTTTGTTGGTAATCAGTATTTTTTTCATGAAGATCTAGTAAACATTTTTAGAAGGTATTTTGTCACACAGATATTGGTATGTTTGCATAGTTACTTTTGGAATCTATATATACAGAATGTATGCACTTTTTCTGACCTTATATTAGTACTGTAGCCACTAGTACTAAATTAATTTAGCCGCATGTTAAAATTTAAAATTCAGTTCCTCAGTCACACCAACTACACTTCAGCTCCTCAATATTGGATAGTGGGGATATAAAACATTTTTATATTCACAGAAAGTTGTATTGCACAGTGCTGTTCTTGAACATAAGCAGTTGTGCATTAAAAAAACAACAGTTTTCTGTGATTTTTTTGTTTTACTTCATAGTAACTACTGAAATAAAATACTAAAATAAAAAAGGAAGAATAGAATAAAAAACTCAGTGAAAGGATTTGTTTCCCTACTGTTGGTTTTGTGTCTTAGTTATTTATGATAGATAAAGCAATGGTTTTAACTGTAGCTGAATGAACTGTGCCTTCACTGCTCAGCTAGATGCAAAACACAGTGGGCGGAGCAGTTCCTGCGACTGGTCCATCAACCTGTCTGTCTGTCTTCGTGGGCATGCAAACAATGACAGGTAGTATTAATCACAGCAGCAGACTCTAGCTTCTGCAATAACTGTATTTGCATAAATCTCATCCCTAGAATTAAGAACATGTCTACTGAGAATCCCTAATTTTTAATTCCTTGGAATTGGAAGGCTGCACCAGAGAGACACAATAGAGAGACAGTACAGTAGAATAAAGGCCTGGAAAATTTCCTCCAAGATTGGCTATTTAATTTTTTTTCTTTATTGACCTTGTAATTATAGAATAAACTTTACTTGATTGCTATAGAAATAGTGTTTTCTCCAAATTTATTTTTTTAAAGCCTTCATTTAATTCAAACAACATTTAACATAGGCTATTACATGCTTATAATGTGCTTTACTTCTATTTATTCTTAATGGTATAGTGTCAGCTCAATTAGAAATAGTTTGAAAATTCCCTTGGAATGAGAGAGGGAAAAGGCATCTGGAAATATAACGCATTTCATAGTTCAGTCTGGATATTGGAAGAATCTATCATTTGCCTGCTGTTGATTTCTTTTTGTTTTTTTTAGGTTGCTTGCAGTATTTGAATGTTGAGAAGGTATAGTTGCTAAAACTGCATTTAGATGGTGGGAATTTGTACAAGTAGGGTGGCTAATATGTGATAATGAGTAAAAATGGGTATTGATTTGGTAATGTGTAAATCTTATTTTAAGTTGTTCCTTCAAGTAAAAAGATCCAGTTTGCATGGGTAGCTATTGTTTAGATCTTTTCTCTACTTGGATGCTAATTTAGAATCTAAGTAAAACTCTACTGAGTAGGGTAGGGGGAGTTGGCACACTATATAGCCCCCACAGGTAGGGCACATATTTCTAAAAAATGACAGAGGACAACTCTAACTATTGTACCTAATCTCCTACCATGAAAGGGTAGGAGAAGTGGTAGGTGTCACGTGTACAGCCATCATCTAACTTGCCCTTTGCACCTGAGTTACAGATACAACACAAAGGAGGTGTGGTCTGGGATATATTCATTCATCATCACTTCTTCCATAAGCATTTACAGAGATCCGGTTAACTCTCTTGAATTTTTCTATTAAAAGTTTCTCATGTAATGCCCTGAAACGAATTGGCAGATTGATAGAGATTACGTAAATAGAGACTGCCAGGATATATAAGGGTATTTAGGTAAAAGGGAAATTCACATTAAAGATAATTTTTCCTGTAGAAAAATGTCTTTTCTATAGAACCGTTACTTGAAAGGACTATCTTTTATTTTTTAAAACTTAACCTTTCTTTGGTATGCTTTGGTCGTAATTGGAAATGTAACTGCTGTGATAAAATGATTTAGAAAGAGATATACATGCTAATGCACCCAGAAATCAAAAATCTTGGCTATTCTTCCTGGGATTAACATTGATGTTCAGTTAAAAGATAAACATGTTTCATAGATAACTCATAGCGATTATGCAAAGAAGAGGGATCTTTGGACATTCCATGTTACAGAAGTTTTATTTCAGATTTTCAAGAATCTAGTTCTCAAAAAAAAAAATCTAGTTCTCTATTATTGATGCAGTGTGTGCTCTGAAATGGATACATTTTAAATATATTTAGTTTCTGTCCACTTTGCTGTCAGTTCGATACTCTAAAAAATTATCTTTCAAAAATAGGTAATTAGAACAAATATCAGGATACTTTTACACCGACGAAGTATTGGATCATGAGATACTTCGAAAAAAAGCCTCTGTGATTGTTTTGAATGCTAAGGATTGTACTTTAAGTAGTTTTCCGGTTTTCGTTTCAGCTATGAAGTCTTACACTCCGTATTTCATGCTCCTGTGGAGTGCTGTTGGGATGGCGAAGGCTGCCAAAATCATCATCGTGCCGCCAATTATGTTTGAAAGCCATATGTACATTTTCAAGACACTAGCCTCAGCCTTGCACGAGAGAGGCCACCGCACAGTGTTTCTTCTCTCCGAAGGCAGAGACATCGCGCCATCTAATCATTACAGCCTCCAGCGCTACCCAGGGATTTTTAACAGTACCACCTCGGATGCTTTCCTGCAGTCCAAAATGCGGAATATTTTCTCTGGGAGATTGACAGCAATCGAACTGTTTGACATACTGGATCACTATACCAAGAACTGTGATATGATGGTTGGCAACCGTGCCCTGATTCAGGGTTTGAAGAAAGAAAAGTTTGACCTGCTGCTGGTGGACCCTAACGACATGTGTGGATTTGTGATAGCCCATCTTTTAGGGGTTAAATATGCTGTATTTTCAACTGGCCTTTGGTATCCTGCAGAAGTGGGTGCTCCTGCCCCATTAGCTTACGTCCCAGAGTTTAACTCACTCCTCACAGACCACATGAACTTGCTGCAAAGGATGAAAAATACCGGCGTTTACCTCATTTCCAGATTAGGGGTCAGCTTTCTGGTTCTTCCCAAATATGAAAGGATAATGCAGAAGTACAACCTGCTGCCAGAGAAGTCCATGTACGACTTGGTCCATGGGTCCAGTCTGTGGATGCTGTGTACAGATGTGGCACTGGAGTTTCCGAGACCCACTCTGCCTAATGTTGTGTACGTAGGAGGAATCCTCACCAAACCGGCCAGCCCACTACCAGAAGTAAGGTTTGCTGAACTCCTTGGTAATTTTTTCTAAATATGAAGGTCAATTTGTCAGCTTTGATTTTTGGAAGAGATGGGATTGGTTATTGTTGGCTAACAAGTGCTACTCTCAAAAGTAGCTAAGGCTACCTAGAGCCTACTCTGAGGTCCCTTCCCTTGAGGATGCGCCATTCCCTTGGAGCACGTTCCTGCTTTGATGGAGTGTTTCTACGATGCTGAGAGGCCATTCTGCCATATGGTCAATAGACAGGCTGGGAAATAGACTTTTGATTAAGTAATAACTGTAGTATGTGAGGAAAATGTAGTTAGCTTGCTTTAATGAGCGTAAGTGGTTTTGCTTTTAATTAAACACAGAGTTCCCTCTATTTTCTCCCAGATAGCACAATCACCGACCAGTCTCCATGTCTAGATCAGGTTCAGTGATGTCAAATAAACAGAAACCATGTGAAGAGAGGTTCTTCTTTCAGCAGTCATAGCCACTAAAAAGCTTATGTCCAACAATGAAAATGAGGTAGTCACTTCTATCAAACTTGGGAGCCAGCTAATTTTTAGTAAGCAGCTGTAACTGTTTTAAAGAAATCCTGCCCCGTTGCGATTTCATTTCAAAGATGGAATTGATTGCACTTTAACAAAACCCTGTCTCCTAAGTCAAACCTAAATTCTTTTTCTGATTGAGCTGTCAGTGAACCCCTTGTGTTCTCTTCTCCATCCTAGTTTGTTTTGTGTTAGGTAACTCAAACTCACATGAGCCAAACTTGAGTATCTGTCGTTGTAGGGTCTTCTTACCTCAGGCTGGCTCTCTGGGTTTGATCTCAACATCTTATGGCATTTACCTGGAAGCAACAAGTTGATCTATGATTTTGCTCTTTATTGAAACTCTTTCTACTCTTGAAAATCTGAAAAGACACACAATAAGTCTGCTAAATCTCTGGTCACTACATATAAAAGCATTTGTCAAAGCCTTGTTGAAGAGCAAATCCAGATTTTTTTCATTTAGGCATCTGATAAGGACAGTCACTGGGCAGAATTTTCTCATGGAGAAATAATGTGATTGGAATATGTAGCCTGTAGATTTTTCTAATCCTTTGAAAGTACATTTAATAAATAATACCTTGATATATTTCACATAACATGAAGAAATAGAGCTTGCCAGATTTGGGGGCCATACCACCCGAGCATTTCATGCCGCTGATGCCAGTGGAGGCTGAGGGCATAGCTCTCTCTGACTTCAACTGTAAAGGATAGGAACTAATCTCAGCCTTTCTCAGCCATTCCTGAGTTTAGCCAAGCCCATTTCAAATCCTTAAATATTCTCTGCCAGAGTCACCGTGTGATTTATTAACTCCCTTTCCTAAAGGTAGGGAAAATCAGATTGAGAAGGAGCTTCTAAAAGACTCATTGATAAGCAAGTCTGTCTTTACTCTGAGTCAGTCAGAATGTTACACAGATCAGCCCCGTTTCTCCAGGTCTTCATTTTTTCCCAACCAGAGCCCTGCTCTTCTGCCTTGCTCCTTTTGTCTCCCTTCTTTAGCCACTGGATTGAAGAAGGAATGGATGATAAAAGGAATGTTCTGATGAATCTTCAGTCCCTGTACATTTGTGTTGAGTTGCAGCAACTTACACTACATAGCATAAGTACAGAATAATATTTTACATATATTTTTTCTATCCTCTACCCTTCATTAAGATACATAGCATGCGAGAATGCTTCTTTTTTCCCTATAACCCAAGCTTATCTTTTCCCCCATGGGTCCCTCTGCCCGTTAGTTTCACTATTTTATTTTACTTTTAAAGCGCCTTTTGAGTGGTTTTGGAGCCTTATGTAAGGTTATTACCCAAAATGTTTTCTGATTTGCATAATTTCTAGGTTTTTTAAAAAATATTTTATTTATTTATTTGAGAGGGAGAGAATGAGAGATAGAGGGGAGAGGGTCAGAGGGAGAAGCAGACTCCCTGCTGAGCAAGGAGCCCGATGTGGGACTCAATCCCGGGACTCGAGGATCATGACCTGAGCCGAAGGCAGTTGCTTAACCAACTGAGCCACCCAGGCGCCCCATACATAATTTCTGGTTTGATGTTGCCTTGACTTACCTTGTGGGCTTCCCTGTTCTTTTTTTCCTCTTTCGGCTTTTTGTAATGATTCTTTTGAAAATGTGTTTATTATTTACAAGGACCACTTTGGCTGTGCCGGTGAGGTCACACACACACAGATACATACATATATGGCATGTGCATGTGTTTTAAACAGAGATAAGAAAGAGCATGAGGCCAAGGACAGGGTCATGAAATACTCACTGTCATTTTGTTATTGCCAGAACTCCTTCACAGAGAAGGGTTTTAGGGAGAATGAGACATTGAGCAACAGATTCATTACATTAACTACTTGTGAGCTGATCAGTTTATGAGAAGAATAACTCTGAGGAGCAAAACAGTGGCTTTCTATTTTCAGTTTTTATTGCTTGGCCTGGAGGCCATTGCTTACTATTCCATATGGTAATGGAAATAGACCTAGATAAGTCTATTCTTACCTTTGAAAACATCTTAGGTCATACGTGTGAAGGGCCATTTTCATTTCAGTGTGCCATTTATAATGTTTTACACCAGGGAGTATTTTGAAGGATGAGGTGTCTTACCCTTTCAGATATTTCTTACTCTGGTGAGGCTTTATATGCTTAGGAACACATGTGTTCGTTCCTACTGGGATTTCTCTAGTAGATTTGTCCAATATGATAAACTGTACCTCAGGGTTCTACAAGTTAGTGAGTTTCTCAAATGCCTGTATTACTTACAGGTCATGGTTGTGACACTAAAATAATAGGGCCTAGCAAGTGACCGTTTAGAACACATGATTCACTAATAACAGCTTAATTGTTAACTGCCTTGGTATCTTACACTGGAAATGGATTAGGTTTTCCAGATGTCTGGAAATGATTTGGCAGTGGGATTTCATTTCAAAACCTGGGATGAAAGGGTACAGAAAATTTCTAAAAGACACTTTTTAGGAGCTTTCATAATGTTTGAGCTCAGAGAAACTCTAGAGAGCATCTAGTTCAGTTCCATTAATTTAGTTTATTCCCCCCTGCCCCTCAAAATACAGAGAATAGGCCATTCATTTGTCACATAGGAGATTCAGAGAGTTTGGATGTCTCGTCCAAGGCCATTAAGCTAGTTTGTGCCATAGCCAAGTAAAATATGGATTATTTTGCTGTGATTGGATATTTTGTCAAGATGCCTACATCTCTTGTTACTCATATCACTCATTTACACATTTATAGTGTATATAAAACTTCAGAGACAAATATTTCTCGGTTCTTTCTTTGATATCTCAAGGATTATGAGGATTTAAGGTGAGAATCAAATTTTAAATCATGCATACTCTCACTTATGCTTTAGAAATTTAATAATAGCAATTATCAGCCAGAATCCAAATGCTTTCGATTACAAAGTATTTGTCTTGGCATAAAGTGAAGCAGTTGTGTGCCTTGGTAATATTTTAAAATGCATGTTAGCAATGTGCCTACCTTATCATACTATTTACTACCTGACTGCCTAGAGTGTTAGTCCTTAAAATGTGTCAGTGAAGGAGAAGAGGTCTGGATTGGATCACATCTGCTCTATTATTGCAGGGCGACAGAGAACATGAATATACATTTCTTTAAAAAAGAACTTTGCCTCCGCCAGGAAGGAGTTCTCTAAACAGGTCCCTATTTGACTAGGTCCTTTAAGTATTAAATGTGAATGAAATAATATCTAACAGCCATTCTAGCTTTTAGCAGTTTTATTGGGGGAGGGATAATAATACAACCAAAGAAGAGTACATTTACTTAAGGAGTCTATTCATTTTTAAAATTAACGTATTTCAGGTGATAATTTTTAAATGATTTCTCATTGACTGAAATGACCTAACCCTGCTGGGCAGCTGATCTGTCCCACTTTTCTGCTTCTACAGTCCCGAATTATTTTTGCACTTAATAGATTGTACTTTAACTATCGGTTTTTCACATGGCTCTCTCCCTAACTAGAGTGTAGATGCCTCAAAGGGTGGATCCTCTACTTAGTCATCTTTGTACCCTGAGTATCTAGAGAATGGTAGGAATTCAATGAGTGTTTAAGATTAAATGAACTGCATCAAATAGAAATAGTTGCCAAAAAAAAAATGTTAATATTATGGCCATTATCTGCTTATTTTTTTTCAAATGACTTAATGTGTGGTTTTATTTCATATTACACAAATATTAATCAAGCAGCCAGTAGTCAGATGCCAAGCACTCTAAGACAAATTCTCTTGAAGATAGTTTCTCAGATTTTTAGTGTATCTAAGACTTGACTGCAGTTTGTAAAAAAATGCAGATTTTCAGGCTAAACTCCAGATTTTAATTTAGTAGGATTGAGATGGAGTCTAGGAATCTGCAAATTACTGACCAACTCAGTGACCCTGACAGGAGACAAAGAGATCACTGTGGAGTTAGGCATACCCTTATTTCTTATTTGAACTGGATAAATGGACGATGGGTACAACAGAATGAACATTATTAGGCAATCCAAGTAGAGGCAAGAACAAGCCAAGATGTTTTAGCCTAGTTTAAGAGGTTCAGATTATTTTAAATTTATGTCCACATACCATCCCAGCCACTAAGCAACCAAACATTCCAGGCTAAGTTATTTTAATGAATTAGAATTGCTACATAATGTTACTGATATTGACAAAAGATCATCGTACTTACTTACTCAGTTGGTGAACTAAATGGTCTCTACTGTGTCCCTAGTGTGCATACGACCAGGGTTGGTAGCGTAAATCAGTTCAGCTGTTGCTGTCATGAAAGATGTTTTGGGGTGATGAGGTACTCATTTGGTATACTTCAGGGTTGCTTTATTGCCAGGCTAGGAGTATAAAGGGCAACTTCATTTCACCAGTTGCGGAGACATTTTTAATTTAGGGAAACAGTCCTGGGGAAAGATACAGATAAGAGATAGGGATAAGAAAGAGCATGAGGCCAA